ATGCTTTAATCTTAGTAATGTTAATTTTTTTCGGATAATAATAATTATGGCTCGGCTGCCTTACCCCCCCCCTAGTTTCTTTGTATCAGATAAAAGGAGTTATACAATGATTACATATACAAAGTGAAAATGTATCTTTTTATTCTTTAATTGGCTCAGTTGCAACTGTAACATGCTCATAACACTAGTTTACCAACTTTTCAACATCATTTTTACCACTGTCATTAATATCTGTAAAATCGTAACAATCTGTGTACATGTCTTAAACATTCCTATGTTGCAGAGTATTGTTGTTCATAATGGAGTCTGCAGAAATCATCGGCATCATCACGTGACAAAGGGCAAGGATATCAGCAAGTCCCAATATGTAAATTACATATCCTTGTGAGATTACCTTTTTAAATGCTAAATTGTGTTTCAGTTGATTTGATGTTTTTCATGAATCTTATTTGTACTACATTATCGAAGAACGTCTCGGCTGATCTTAAGGTCTCACACAAGGAAATAATTTCACTATATGTTACTATATAGCTTTAATTAAATTAATTAATTAACTAGACTCTCAGCAGATAATTCATGAAATAGAGAATAAAGATCAATGCTTAAAAAAAAATTTGAGATCAGAAAAAATACCCCTTATGCGGCTTTTAAGAAAGAAAATTGAGAGTAAACATACTACCCCGAAATACACGTGGGTTTCAGATGTTGACAGACTACGCACCATCCAGGAAGTTATATCACGCGCACCTAAAAAAAGAGTTCCCTTTAATTCAGTGGCACAATTCTGCTAAAGATATGATATCCCTTGTACATGAGTCCAAAATTAAAATTGTAGACCTAAAAAAGGTGCCGAAAATGAAAAAAGAAAAAGAAATTGTCTCTATGTATATAGAACTTCATTGGCTATTTCCTTGCGTAAGACCTTTAAGAATCCTATGAAATGCCGAATATTCATTGTAATGACATATAATATATTTTCGATACCCCATAGGCCCCTACACTATAATGGTCTAAAAATGCATCTCTTAAAAGACGGTATTCTTGGACATTTTTTCTGAATGGGTTTGAACAGGGCATCTTTCATATCGCCAGCCCTTTAACAGAACAACATTCCGCCCAAGAACCCAGTCATTAAACTTTTCCATTTTCATATACTCAGTACTTGCCCTGGCTTCCATGTTTGCTCCGATGCAGATGCCAACAATTTGATGTAAATTGTAATACCCGCAATGCGTTTTAAATCGGTCAACTCCGTAACTGTCGAAACCCAACGAAAGAAATTAGATATATGGATGTATGATGTTCTTCTCATACGTTTGATGTTCTTTTCAGACCCTGCGTTTTACTTTAAAACCTTGCTAGGCCCTATAGTCGGAGAAATAATTTTTAAAAATGCTGTTTTTTTTAAGTCAACACGATGTATTCATCACTAGCTTTAAAAAAAAACTTGTTTACCTATTTACAATCAATTTTCAGCTAAATGGGAGGTATTTTACTTAAATAACGCAGTAGGCAAAAAAATCAAAAATACAGAATATTTGTTATCTGATGTTCCTTTGAAGCCCATACTACTTTTTTGCTGTCAAACCTCAAATTTCATCTTTAAAGAGATTTTTTTATATACCACATCAGAAGAAGAGGAAGGACAGGGAGTACGTCTTGGCTTGTATAATGAAAATAAGCAATGTTATTCCCAATAATCAAACACTGACGTTTTTAACACCCCCCCCCCCCACCAACTATTTACTAATTGGGCCACCGGCACCTGCAATATGGAATATCCGAAATAGCTGCATCAGATAGTTTTGTCTAAATTCAGAGTAAAATTGTTAATATTCTTATTATAATGTTGTGTATATCCCAAGATCTCCATCATAAATTGAGAAAATATACTAAAATATCTAGTGGCTCTGACAGCACTGATATAGATCTATAAGGTAACATTTTACTCTTTACCTTCTACTACAGTTCTAAATCAACATTCGTTAGGCTACACAAGCTGGAGACTGTGGCATCTATAATCAACCTATTTGTAGCTTAGCAAAAAGAGAGTTGGAAGTTTAGAATCATCGCAGTCTCCTGTTTTCCTTTTTCCAGCTTATTCCATATAAATCACAAATCAACTGACGAAATAGTTTAAATGTAAAGTCGGTAAACGTATGCTACTCCAATATTCTGTAGTAGATTGATTAGGGATTGATCCCAATGTTTGGTAGGCCCTATGTCTAATTTTATGAGCGGTGTAACGTCCCATGGTGTGAACTTCACCACTTTTGCATCAAAAATACCTTTTATGATATATCCATATGTTCACATATTGTCTGGGCTGTGATGTTTGGAAGTAGAAGAGATAACCCATCCAAAAATTACAGGAGAGTTACCAAAGGGGAAGTAACTCTTCGCTTAATTCAACATTTCAACAGAACACCATTTGGGAACTCTCAAAAATATTTTTAAATTGAGTTAAATATTGTCGGGTTTGTTAAAAATAATAATTGAATTCGTTTTGACAGAATTATATACATGTATTAGAGATGACTCAAAGTATTTCGTTTATATTCACTGACGGATTTAGAGGGGGCCCGGGGGCCCAGCCCCACCTTTTTGTCCAAAAAAAAAAAACAAAATAATTGATAAATCAATGTTTTTTGGTGTGACTTTAGGCCCCTACCCTGACCTCAAACTGGTCGCCCCCCCCCCTTTTTTCAAAATTTCTTGATCCGCCACTGATATTGGCGCAGCGGTCAAAAATATCCCGTGTTCGGTCGAAGTTACCTAAACACAATATGACATATTTTGTTACGGAAGCGTATTAGTGCCACGTAAATTTTTAGTTGGAGATTCCAACTTTAATTTAGTATTGGCGTTTCCAGCTTTAATCTTGTTTTTTTTTCCCGAAATTAATTTGAGATTTTCTACCCCCTTTTCTTAGTTTTTTCCCTTTATTTTAAACCATTACCAACTTTATTAATGTAAAATTAATACACTGATATAGACTGGTTAGCAATGAATCTTCCAACCCTAAAAAGGGGAGGCATTTTAAGAAGGGCAGACGACCCCATAGGGAGCTATGGAATAAAACATTGATTGTACAAGTACATTGAAATATGTTGGTGAGCACCGTGGCGTTTTCTGTGTCAGTTTTTTTTTACCCCGATCTTCTGGATTCGGGCCCTATGACCTTACATATAACTTCCAACTTTTAATTAGAAATTTTTATATTTCTTTTGGTCCTCTAATATAATTTTAAAGAGACTTTCAATCAACCCCGTGCATGACAGTTTTTCAACCTAACATATTTAAGAGATTGGGCATTTATTTTATTTTGTATGATCGAAAGAATAAGCTTTATAATGAGACTGTTATTAGGTATTTTATATAAAGAATTAATCAAACGATACAATACATGCTACAAATACATCAGTACTAAATGTATCAATTCTGTATATGGAACACAATATTTTCAGTTTGGTTCATTATTAACAACCAACCACTATATTGCTATCTATCGTCAAATTATTGTGGAGGGGGGGTAAGGTGACACGCCCCTTTGCACCTCACTTTCCGGTTCCTAGCGCGATGCACAATAAAAATAATTCCTTCTACCATCATCATTATACCCCCCGCTTGAAAAGCGGGAGGGTATATAGCTATCGGTATGTCCGTCCGTCTAGCTGTCCGTCTGTCACGCTTTGGGGTACCCATCTCTAATCCGCAACTCCTCTCATACCACCGAATGAAATTTAATGAAACTTTCGGAGAATCTTTATTGCATATTAACTGCCATTGAGCACCTCCTATTTTACTTTTTGATCCGACACATATTTTGGGTTTCCCATAGCTAAACATGGACACTGCCATTATATTCATATGGGAGGCATGGGATATCATTTAGTGAGCTAATTGCTCACAGTACCTCTAGTTGATCTTATGACGAATAATACAGTGTAATCTGAAAAAGTATAAGGTATTACAAAGGAAAAAGGATTCCCTAGAAACTACAGGTATACTGTGAGCAATGAGCTCACTAAATGATATCCCCTGCCTCCCATATGAATATAATGGCAGTGTCCATGTTTTGCTATGGGAAACCCAAAATATGTGTCCGATCAAAAAGTAAAATATGAGGTGCACAATGGCATTATGTAATAAAGAATCTCTGAAAGTCTCATCAAATTTCATTCCGTGGTATGAGAGGAGTTGCAGGTTGCAGATAAGAGATGGGTACTCCAAAGTTAACAGACAGACGGACATCCCAATTACTATTTTACTATATACCCTCCTGCTTTTTAAGTGGGGGTGGGGTGGGGTGGGGGGGGTAATAATTGGTCAAAATTACACCACCCTACAGATTTCAGCCTTAATTAAAGTAATTTTCTTGATCAATATACCTATATAGTTTATTTGTAAAAAATAAAGGTTTTTTTATGCCAAATACACTGTAATTATGCCATGAGATAAAAGAAAAAAAACAATGTGTAAAACTTTGTATTTTATTGCAATTTCTTATTAAAATTCAAAAGTATACAAAATTTAATATTAAGGTTAAACTGAACCTCTACAAGAGAGATATCTCTTATTATATATAAAATTTAAAGGATATTTCTGTTAAATTTCCATTAATAGTACACAGAAATGCATTGCATTTTCATTACAATTTAAATCTTCTATTTCTGTAAATAAGAAAAATATGCATTGCCAAACGCCTGTGAATAGACCTTATATTAAATATGGATGTATAATAATATAACTAACACTGATGTGCCAGGTGAGATGTAGTTTAAAAGAAGAGACAATAAGATATACATTGTAAGGAGACACCAATTCAAGAGGTATATAGAAACTTGGGATTGCAATTTTAAAAAGATATAAGATATAGAAAAGAATATTAAGAATTTGGTTTAAACCATTCATTCCACATAGCAAAAGACATTTTAACATACATATGAATGAAAACATTTTACTTAAACCCAAACTATACTCCCTCTCTCTCTCTCTCTCTCTCTCTCTCTCTCTCTCTCTCTCTCTCTCTAAATGTATTGAAATATTTTTCTAAAGTCAGTTTAACCAGTCCATTCATTATTCACAGAATTTAATTGCACAAGTAATATTTCAGTGGTTCTCATTCCATGATAGAGTACTGTATTATTAATGCTAGTATGTCCGACCATTGAAATATAATTGTTTAATGCATAAAATATTTATGTACATAACTTTTACAAATTTAAGCACCCTTACAATAAAAATATAGTTTTTATATAGTACATGTACTTATAAAATTATTTGTTGAAATACAATAAAAAGTAACTCTGTGCATGACTGATGAAATGATGGCTGTAAATTGTGATAATGATAAAACACGTTATCATGCACGGAAACAATTGACCTATATCATATAATTGCATGTCCATTTTTACATTGGTATAAAAATATAATACAAGAACAAGACTTGAGCATGCTACTACACTACAAACACTTGGGAAAACTTAGTTATTGTTTGGCAATGGGGAATCCCACTGGGAACTATATAAATAACAAGTATATGTATAATTCAACATGAGGGTAGTTATTATAATGAAGTAACAATTTATTATGAAAATGATTTGTGAGTTAATGTATGGCTGTACATATATACATATAGAGCATTATACAGAATGGTGATTCATTTGAAACATAAAAAAAAATCATGGATGAATACAAAATGAATCATTTTATTGCTAACTAATCTTACATAAAAGATGACTTTAAAAACAGTAATTTACCAGTAGATGAGTTACAATAATATGTGCGTGATCATAAAATGAGAGTGTGCATATTCTCTCTAGTTATTCAAACATGTTAAAATATACAAATAGGTACAAATGACACTGCTGCATTATTGTTTTTAATTGTCAGTTCACCATCAAACTTATTTTTATATAATTTACAATACAGAGTTATACCAGTGGCAGGTGTCATCTGTCCATTTTTTTATACCTGCACAGTAAAATACAACCAAAACAGTGTCGCATCAGCAAAACTAAAATCCTGTTGTCACAACAGTCTCCACTAGTTTGTATGATAACCAGGTTTAATTTTATCTTGATTTCTCCCATCCAATGGATCAGTTCTTATTAGCTTGTATACTAAATGAAGTAAAGAATGTATGTTCCCGTTCCTTGAATCGAAGAGTTGAAAAGTAATTCTTTTACAATTTCTATTGGGAAATGCTTCTGACATAAAACTTACACACCCAAATGATAAGAAATCCAAATCAATCCTTTTATTATGGCACAAAAACTACCACATTTCAAAATCTTTTTTAGATGATGTTAGCAATAGTTTAGAACAAGATGAAATCTCACCATATATTTATGAAGTTATTAATGCAAATATCATAATCAAATGTAATAAATATCCACGTAATGCATGTTTGCCACATACAATCCCAAATACAATCCTAGTATTCATCCAGATATCCTAGATTTTGTCCAGATATTCTAGGATTTGTCAGGATTTCCTAGGATTTGTCTGGATATCCTAGTCTATATGTAGATCAGTCTGCCTGAGCTGCCTTGGAAGAGAAACAGGACAACATTTTCCTGAGGGAGTTCTTCTTTTGGACTTTAACTTTTCCTTTGGGAATTTCTTGTTTATTGTCTTTGCTGGGAGATTCATGGTTTTCTGTGTGAACAGTGATTTCTTCATTATGAACACTGTTGGGAGAATTTGGTTCAGGTTTGACGGGGGACTTTTCTTCAGGTTTGACAGGAGACTTTTCCTCAGGTTTTGAGGGAGAACTATTTTCTTCTTTGCCTGGAATGTAGAGAATCATAATTCATACAGGAGATACATGTAAAATATGGAAGTACTTTTTTAAAAACAAGTGTCCTTTTAATTTTTCATCGTCTCAGTTATTTTAAGAACACGTCTATTGCACTTGTATACAAAATACAATTTAAAAACATGCATGTAGAAGTACACTAGTACAGATAGCTATAGGTTTAAGTTACCATGTTTTCCCAACTGAATTGTGTAGCAGTATTTATTCTGTGTAATTTGACAAATATTGATGTTTTTCATCACATGTATGATTCTTTAATCACTTTAAATAGAGATTTCCCCCTCCCTTTAAATTATAAACACATTAACATTCTTTTTATATTTGATTTTTTTATGCTTTCCTTATCAAAAGCAACGGAATATTCTTGATCGATGCAAAACTGCAGTCACTTAGGGTACTGATATGAGAAATTCAATATAAAAAAATCAAATAGCTCTCATATCATTCACATCATTGTGGAGAAAAATGCTTGTGTAATTGCTGGATTGTTAGAACTACCATTAACAAAAAAATCAATCATTTATAGTGACGATTTGATTTTTGGATTTGTAGGTCACATTTTAGTAGAGTTTTGGGCAGTGAATGGGGTAAGTGGGTGGGGGTATAAAGGGTGGTCCTCTTTTATATTATATTCAATCAGAGTATCTTTTTATTTCACATTTGAATTTAACTTGCATGAAATAATTTCTCATTTACAAACTAATATAATCTCATTCACAAGTTGATATGGAGCTAACTAATCAATAGTAAGAGATCGTGTGACATACTGTAACTGGAATACTGTATGTTAGTGGAGGAAATATTTTTTTATGATATGATCCAAGTTTTATAACCTTTCCACTGATTTGTATTTTTTATAGATTTTTTCCTTATCTTCAACTTTATTATCATCCTAAGAAAAAGAAAATTTTGTCTGTTCATTGATTTTGAAAATTGGTGTGTTGATTATAAAGATTAAATTCTCATTGTGGTTTTACAAACATTTAGTGGGATTTAGGTGTTTTTCAACCTCAAAATATATCTTAAGGGTGAAATCCTTATCAATAGAAAATAAATGAAGGACATGTCATGAACAACCTCAGCTGCATTTAGACAGAGTACACAAATTTAGCATGCCTAAAGTCTGTGTCCATAAAAAAGGCAAAGAAATAAACAAACTGAGGCATTAGATTGATCAGACCAGGATTGATGTTGTACAACTGTGACAGTTTGGCACTCGGTAATTCCCTTTTTGTCACATAGAAAAACAAATGGGGAAGTGATGAAGGGGTTGGGAGTGTAAGATGCTGACAGCCAGATATGGCTATTGATTTTCCCCCGTCAAGGAGAGATTAATTAGCTACCTCTCTCTGAAGTGAGAGAATCGTCAAATCCGTTGATAATTTCTTCAGTTGCCTTCTCTCTTTCTTTTGTTTTACCTCTCTGAAAAGGAGATAAGATAGAGTTATTAATACTAAGGATTGCTTTAAATGTTGTTTATCAATGTCCACTTCACAATAAGTGTTTTTTAATGAACTTTTTAGAATGTATTATCCAAATGTCAAGGTAAAGACTAAACCAAACATCTTATCATAAACATTGAATGTTAACAGAACACAAACACATGTAATTGTTTTCATGTACACTAGCTGTTATCTAACAGCAAGAAGGAAGTTATTTTTTTTTTAGAATCAATATTTTGCATGAAGGAAGTATGCATATATAATTCAACTTGTTATAAAATCAAAGCCTTATTAATAAGTCTGAACTACCTTGAAGATTCTGTTGAGTACTTTGGAAACAGGTCCTTGTTTGGGACTAGATACTTTGGCTTTAGCTGCCTTTGCTGCAATAAAATTGATACAACATAAATACCTTTTTATCTATTAATAAGATCTTTCATTTAGCTTTCCTGTTGAATTGATTAAAACTCAATGTGTTTCTAAAATCACATCAAATTAGTGTTGGGAAACATCCAAAGTATTAAACTGAATTGCTCATCCGTAGCACAGTTTTGGATATATCTTATATTTATGAACAAATAATGTCAAAATTTTTTTTACGTGTTGAGTCTTTTTCACATGTATTACTGGGTTCAGTCTTTAAAGGCGTCTGTACATTAGCACCAACAGCTGATTTATCAAGAGTGTCGTCTGCTCGTATACTCGCATTCTGACGTTCTTTTTCTATCTGATCGCTGGCGTCTTTTATAATTCCAATGATGTAATCTTCCACCGACTGCAAAGTTCCATCGGGTAAACGTAATTTTACTGAATTTGTGTCTGAAATAAAAAAAATAATCATCTTCAAAAATGTCGATATCTATTTAAATTCCATGCATATACTAGCAATCAAATGCATGCACTAGCATTCAAAACGGAACTGATTTTATTCTTTTCATTTACTCAGTATTTTAAATAATGATATCTGCAGCAAAAAATCGTTATATCACTCAATGTTTGATATTTATCACCATTTATCACCATTGTGTAATCCTTTTTCCCTCCTGGGTTGCTTAACGTAAACACTAGATACCGCAAAATTGAGTCTTATTTTTGACCATAAACGGCTATCTTTTCCATAGGGATTTCAGTATTGCTATTCAATGTCTATTAACTCTGATTTACGCAATTCCCCTCCATCAAGTGATGCTTTGACACACTATTGAAAAATCTATTTACGTGTTTTGCACCATTGTTGTTTATCATGTTAACGAATTATTTAGTTTATTTGACTGAAAGGTGTGACAATTTTCTAACAGGATCAATTTAAACATTGTAGCCAAGGTGAACTGTTGTAGAAGTTAATAGAAATTGAGATGGGGAGAAATATGTTATATAGCTTCGTGACTGAGGGCTAAGCTATTACAATTTTCATTCATTGATCATCTTCGTTGATTTATTATGAAAATTATATGCAACTGATCAAATGTTTACCTAAAGAATTTGGAGAAACTTCCGCCATTTCTTTTGAGGATTCCGATTCGCTGCTGGTCAACCTGTCTTCCTGAGCGTCCGTGCTGGCAATAGATAATCCACTTTTATCCAAAATTCCATTTTCTCTTTGCTCCTTCTCAATTATTTTCCTCGCCGCTTCAATGATAAGAGATACGTACTCCGTTATCCCTATTGTCTGTCCATTATGTGTTACCATCGCCATTTTTCATCCGAAAACGTCAGGGGACACTGTTCCACTGGAAAAAAAGAAAGAGAACAGAAGTGTAATGACATTCGTCCTCTGTCAGTTTATCGCTGAAAGCCTCCTCCTACAAAACTCTATACGTTTGTCAACGGACGTGACCCGGTTTGATTTACATGCCTCTATGCCTGCAGCTAAACACAATACTGTAATTCTCTTTTGTGCCAAGGAAAGAGTCGTGGTGGATATGGAAACGAAAGGTCTTTTTTCTCTTACTATTTAAAATACATTTTTATCCTTCGTGAGATATTTCATTACTTAATTGCGTTCTTTATGAAAAATAAATAAATACGAAGTCATTACTACTGTAGATGGGTTTAAGAATTATAAGAATTGGTCTTTTGCACGATATACGTTTATTGATCTTTCCTAAAGTTTCCCCCCGCTTCCATGTATGGGTTTATCTTGTCACGTATTTTTGCAATGATTTGCACTATGTTCTCTCTCTTTCTCTCTCTCTGTGAAAAATGGATATTTACCCTTAAATATTTCTGGATCAATCTCTCCGAGATTCACCTTAAGTTTAATACCTGTAGTGGGTCAGTCAAAAAGTGCTGTACTACATTTGTCATTCATATGCTTTTGAAACTGAACTACACGATGGTCAGAATGATATATTATTTTGACCCCGATTTATCGAAGATAATGCTGTCAACAAGTGGAAAAACAAAATAATAAAAAGGAATAAATAAATAATTTTAAAAAGTACATATTAAAAAATATATACGGACGAATGTTGGATTCTAATTGTATTGCTGATATCAGACATTTTCCGTGTGTGAAACTTTTCCTTGTCGACGTACTGACTACTGTTATGTCATTCCTTCTAAGGTTTCTTCAGGGAAAAGGGGACGTCTTATATGAGTGCCAATCAAGAAAAAATTGAGCTTTATCGTTATAAGATCAGTATAAAGTCCTAAGGGGCACCAATAATTACATATATATGCAAATGACAAGTCTAAGGGGAGATAAGACCCTGCAAAAAGACACAATGTCAATTCCAAGCGACAATTCTTTCTCTTTAAATTGGCCTTGAACCTAAAGGCAAGCACCAAATGAATAATTATTATTGATTTGACGACACAACGAATGGTATTTTCTTGTTCCGTAATAAAGCCAGTTCAAATTAAGCTTGTTGTAATAATGCCTCCTCAGATGAGTCGTTAAACTCCATTTATAGCTAGATTGTGGACCGTGCCTCCTCCGTCAATGGGGTGTTTCTGAAGAGGACTCGTGGTATGTCATAAATCTGATCAAACAGACGGGGGGTTAATTACGCTCTCCTATCATTATGCTGTGTTTAGACAGTCCACGTCAATTCATTGTTATTGAGATAAGTATAAGAAGATGAGAGTAGAATTGCGTATGAGTTCTTGATATTAACCCCCCCCCTCCCCCCCCCCCTGAAAAAAAGAAGAGTATTGCCCCAATAAGAAAATGCATCAAAATTTACATGTACCTGTATATAAAAGTTTTTAACGTCGAAAAATAACACCAACTGTTCACCGTGTAACAGTGTAATAAGCAACCTACTAGCTTTAACATAATTTTTCCATGCAATTTCTATCCACTAAAGAAATGATCATATAACCTCTTAATGTTTTCTTAATCAGTCAGTTAATACATGGCTGATGTACGTAGTATTGAAGAAAAAAGATAATGGATTAAAATATCTTTGACTAATTTGCATGCAGCCTTGGATCAACACAGGTTGTAAATTTTCCAGCTGAAACACAATTTGTATAGATACGTAACATTTCACTCGCTTTGAAACTCCTTCACAATAAATATAAGTACCGGTATATAGAGTGTTCATCACTCGATCATACGAAATTTCGACATCCTTTTAAGTACTCCAACACGTCTGTCCTCTGAGCTCACATTTTGTAAATATTTTAGTTCTTCCTGAGTAATAATATTTTCCTCAAGTGAATGTAATACCGCCCGCATAGCACAAGCGTCAGAAGCTTTGATTTAGCTACTTCATGCTTTAGATATGAAGGTTTTAAAAAATTGAAGTATAAGCATGCTATAAAAAGATTTCTCATATCTTATTCCTGGTTTATTATATGCATTGTCGATCACACGTGTGCCTTACGAGATTTTTATACAGAAGAAAGCTATTTCTTTTCGTATAAACAAAACAAACAGCTGAAGGCCGAGAACAGCCTGTATACTATTGTTAATATAAACCAGCTCGGAATATTTACAATTCTTTTCTTGTCTGAGAAGAAAAAAAGTATTAAATTAGTACTTACATGTGCTCAATGTAATATTGTATGATTAAAATTCCCTTTGCAATCGATGGTTTATACCCGAAACGGTGCAGATCTAATGAATGAATGCACAGCTTTTAAATATGTCCAATAATTATATCGGCGATTTAACACCCCTTAATCCATTTCCTCTCCTGACTAGCCACGTGACCGGTAAATCAGGAATCATCGCCTTTTCTCTGCAATTTTCATATCCAGAAATCTCTGTTCTGTTTTTATGTTTTGGGATATCCTTTGGATAAGAAAGTCCTCGGGGTTTTACCTTAGGATATGGACAAAGTGCTATGATACTTTAAACTACCACATAAAAAATCGATGAACATGATAAGCCAGGTGTTATTATTGAGGAAGAAATATGTCATTACTGCATAGTATTCAATAGTGAGGAATCCGTATATAGTCGGCCTTTGGACTCCAAATCCCCCTCTATAACAGCCCATTATATAAACACATAACATTATTATTCCAAAGCCGACTGCATTTAAAATTAAAGACATGATTCATATATTTCTTCAATATCGTGAATGAAGATGATTAAACTGTTAGACTGAATTAAATTTGAATTAGGGAATTCAAGAACTTCAAGGTATCTGTTTCCCCCTGTAAATGAGTTTTATCGCGGTAAAACAGTGTAAAAAGCAAGATAAATGAGTAATGTAGTTATAACATTCAACGAAAGGGCACTGCATGTGACCAAATTGAACGTGAACAAAAAGGGGAAAGAGCTATAGATACTTGTAAATAAAAAAATAATAGAATGCGTATTGGGAGAAAAATCGGACTTAATTCGATTGATTACAGATTTTGATTCAAATAATACCTTGCCTTTCACTAACCAAGACGTATACTTCGTTTATACTCAGTAAAATAATCAAAGTGACCAGATACACATGTATGTACTAGAATCCAAATCCACCGAGTCAACTTTAAAATTCAAAAGGTTCAGTCTTGTACGAGGCTGGATAAGAAAGTACATTGACTACATTCTCTCTCTCTCATCCTCTCTATTCCTTTCCCTACTTATATCTCAGATATTACCCAATATGGTTTTCATGGGATACCTTTAGTTCTCTTTAAGTTTTTATAATAAAAATGATGGTTGTTTAAATTAAAATTTTATGCCAAAGTTCAGTAACACAAACCTGAGTGTGATTTTAATTTGTTTCCAGATAATATCTAAAATAAAAAAATGTGTCCATGGGTGGAGGACAGCGTTTCTCCGAAAAAATTTGTTAAATTTATTTTGAAAGTCCTGGATAGGTGTATAAAACAAATACAAAGGGAGAATAAATCTTAGTTTATACCTCAAGTTAATTAGTAAAGAGGTGCTATAACTTTTGCGCGCTATATTCCTTTGAAATTATTTAAACTCTGTTTTCAACATGAATGTCAATGCAATGAAGATAAATTCATTTTAAATTTCCGCTAATGTGTCAGTCGTAGGCAATATTGAACAAAGGATTTTTCTTGAATTATAAAGAAATCTGCATCTAAAATATGACAACTGGCTTTTGGGACGAGAAATATTTACTAGAGGTTATTCTGACAGGTTTGATTTACTAAGAGTTGCAAATCTCCATGCCTTTTTTCAACACCTTTAATATAAAGGTACCCTAAGGCCGTTCTTTCAGTGTTTTTGTACATATACTTTGACACATTCTCTCTCTCTCTCTCTCTCTCTTTCTCTCTCTCTCTCTCTCTCTCTCTCTCTCTCTCTCTCTCTCTCTCTCTCTCTCTCTCTTATGTCTTTGAATATAAAGATCTTGATCCAGCATAAGCTCTTCTGGTCTCTGACCAGTAGAGCTAACAATTTAAGGTACCCAGTATTCAATGTATATATTTTGTACCTAATTAATGAATGGTCCATTATTTTTTATATCATGGTAGCAATTTGAAAAATCTCTTGCTGAAAAAATAAAAAACTCTCTCTTTATAAAACTAAAAAAGTATTTTTTAAAAAATGAAACATTTACCTCATATGTTTTGACAAATTATTTTTTTTTCTCTTTTTCATTAAGGGCAGATAACTCTTCAAAAACTTTAAGGATATCCAATCCTCAAGATGACCTGTAGCTCTGGAATCAACTGGTGTCTTCTTTTTAACTTGAACTTTTCTGGCAAATTTTGGATCGTACGGTCAAATATAATCTTCAAGATTGTATTACCCTTCGACATTTGATCTTTGGACCTCTTCCTCTGACCTTTTCAGCTGAAAACTTACATGCAAATAGCATGTATTGTTATGGTTGCGCGTACATGCACTTACGTTTCAGTTTTTTTATTCATGCAACTTTATTGCGATGAAATTAAACTTATTCTTGATTCTTGATAAAACAGAATCAGTTATCCTAGAGTCTTGTGTGGCGTTACGTACAAGTGCAATGCGCGTTCGGATGGGTATTCTTGTTGATGCCTGATTTTCTAAATAGATCCGACAGCGAACAGGAAACTGTTATGTTGTTGCAGGCGATGTGAAAAAGGCCCGCTATGTTAATCTGTGATAGTGAAGCATGATATTTTCTCTGTTCTTGTCTGAAGTGCAGGGATAAATGAAGGTAATTGTACAGCGGTACATTTGCCATCAAGTGGTGTCATTGTCCCAACCTCGGAATCGGAAATCTATACAGTCGGATTACGGTTCAGACAAGAGAGAAAGGATAAAGTAAAGTAATTTATTCAGGAATGCATGTTTTCCAGCTCTCAGGTGGATTATGCGGATGTTTATAAATTCATACATGGTATTTAAGCCCAGTTCAAGTTTTCTCTATGTTTAGCATCCGTCTGCCCATCGGTTCGTTTTGAATTATCTCCTCAGCCAATCAAATCTGCGATCCAGAAACTCCTGGGTTTTTTTTAAAATAACATTTAAAATGTTAGTTTCTATTTTTGATGATGCACAATTTAATCAGATTCATCATATATGTTGTAAAAAAAAATGTTTTATTCCTTTCTGCGAGATAAAGACAATAATAAAATATATTCCTCAGGGGCGTAGCATCAGGGGGGCCTGCCCCCCCCCCCCCACCCACTTTTTTTCCCAACCTTACTTATACAATAGAAAATGTTAATTGGAAGCCTGGTTACCCCCCCCCCTCCCCACATTTAGCGAGGTACCGAAACTGTAGTATTAGAATTGGTACTGAAAGTAGTTGACACCGAGAAAAAGTTTATCTCAACACCCTCTCCCCACCCCACGAAATAGGATTTTCAACTTTTCCTTTTTTTTTTTTTTTTTTTTTTTTTTTTGCTTGTCAAGTTTTTTTTAGATAAGTAAAAAAAATTCTCTGGATGCCCCCCCCCCCCTTTTCAAAAACGATGCTACGCGCCTGTTCCTTTTTAAAATTTTAGGACTGGTTTTCTTTCATCATTGACAAGATATATTTTTGAGGGAAGTGACGCTTACCCTTCAGTTGCAATTACAAATCACAATCAGTGTTATGCAGATAAAATATGCTTACAAGCAATAGACGAATTACTTTGTGAAATTAACATTTTAATTTTTAATGAATCGATCACACTTAATGAATTGATGCACAGAATAATTCAATTGAATAGAGTAAACGTAAAAGTAATTTAGGAAACATGAATAAAGCACCATGTATTTGAAGGTTGAACAATTGTAGGTTGCCAGGTATTTGGGTTACATTTTCAAAAAAACATTAAAAAATGTATTTTAGTTCTCTGTAAATTATTTCTCTGTCGTTTTCAAATCTTATTTACTAGAAAATAAATGCATAGTGCAAACTGTAAACACATATGTTAACATCGCAAGATATCATATAGACCATTTCCAACATTTTTCATGCAAACAAGCATTGGTATCTAAGTGAATATATGAAAATCTCGAATAGAGACCGATCTAAAAATAAACAAACAGATCTGTGAACAGAAATAGAACAAGGACTCCTGATTCACTGTCCATAAATTTGGAACAGACCTAAGTAAAATTTCAAATCAACTTAAATTTTAAAATACGTTGATAACTTGATACTAAATGAAACCACATTCAATCATATAATTTTATTTGAAATTTATATAAATTTGCAAAATTTTAAGGGCATATTTTAAATAAAATTCAAGCTGTTTAAAAAATCAAATCTTTGTCATAAGTCTGTTCTCAGTTTGTAGTTTTAAGGGATGTAAATTTCAGATGTGACATCGGATGTTAAATAAGCATCCCCCTACAACCGAACACATGCTCCGTAAATCTTCTGTATTTAGACGGAGTAATTCATAGGTCTACTATAAAACAAAGGTCTATAAAGTTTGGTATGGAATATATCAGTTTAAATACGATCAAATAAATATACGATCTCCCATGATTTGTAGTTGGATATGATTTTTATCCGACGAGTTGTGTGGGTTTTTTTTTATCCCCGAGACAATTGTTGCAAATATGTGTTTAAAAACTGTATTAGAATGCTATCCATTGTAGGCAAACGAAGAGCTTTGGTCAGCTGTTGCAGAGTTTGGGGATGCAGTTGTTTTGGCGGATATGTTTAGCCATTTTATACCATACATGTTCAATGGTGTTTCAATCTGGCAATTTTGATGATTTAGAGAACAAAACGGTTTGGCTTTGCAAGATGGAGAGACATGTGCAAGTAGGACATCTTTAGAGAAGAAGAGAACAGTTTGTAGGCAAACCCCATTGAATATGAACCAAGTCTGTCCTGTTTGCATAGAACACAAGGGAAAAATTATTCAATTCACTAAATCTATCGGCGTCCAGGGGCAGTCTTCTGTAAGAAGTACATTATGAAGCTTATATATACACTGCGACACTTACTTTAGGCTTTGCGATATACATTTTGACTAGTTGCTTAAAACATCAGTTGTGTTGTTGTGACTATATTCTGTTAATCTGAGGCCTTTGAACACGATATTTGCGGTCCTGTGGGGTCAGAGCAATAGCATGAATACATGCATGTAAGTCATCTGGCTATAATTCCAGCGTACCGTAGGCAATTGCAAACATTTTTGTTTAATATTCTATCTTTGCAATTCAGGGATACTACTAGTAGCTAATGGTGTAGACGGCATTGGTATTCTGTAAGCCACTAAAGCAATCCTTTGTCTTTGATGTTACACATGGACTGTCTTATTGTTGTGCCATACTCATATGGTGCTTTGTGCAAAATGCAAAATGTTCTTTTAAAAAAATACAATTGTGAAATATGAAAGCCATAGCACCACCAGTTCAAAATATAGGGCAAATGATAAGTTTTTGAGACTTAGGTTTAACACCAGGGTCAAGGTCAAAGTTGTTGGTTTCTAAAGAAAGGTCTTGTCACAAGGATTAATACATATGTGAAGAATGAAATCCCTAGCCCTAACCGTTCAAAAGTTATGGCCAAGGTTAAAGTTTTTTAAAAGTAGGTCAAACTCCTAGGTC